CGTCAGTGGCATGTGGATTTTCAGGGTGAAGCGGCCGCCGGGTTCTCCGCCTGTCTTCAAGGCGCGTTACGTGGCTCGTGGCTTCAGTCAGCGGCAGGGAGTTGACTACTTTCAGACCTTCTCTCCCACCCCGAAGATGACCACTCTTCGGGTACTGCTGCACATAGCTGCTCATCGCGACTACGAGCTGCACTCTCTTGACTTCAGCACTGCTTTCTTGCAGGGCAGCCTGCACGAGGAGATCTGGCTGCGTCGCCCACCTGGCTTCACTGGGTCTTTTCCTCCTGGCACCCAGTGGAGCCTCCGGCGGCCAGTCTACGGTCTCCGCCAGGCACCGCGTGAGTGGCACGACACACTGAGGACTACACTTGCGGCTCTTGGGTTTGCTCCCTCTACTGCCGACCCGTCGTTGTTTCTGCGCACCGACACTTCTTTGCCGCCGTTCTACATCCTCGTGTACGTCGACGACTTGGTCTTTGCCACAGCTGATACTGCTGGACTCGCCCACGTGAAGTCCGAGCTGCAGAAGAGACACACGTGCACAGACCTGGGTGAACTGCGCAGCTACCTTGGCTTGCAGATCACCCGGGACAGAGCACGCTGCACCATTACCCTGACTCAGTCACACATGGTGCAGCAGGTCCTTCAGCGCTTCGGCTTCACGTACTCCTCGCCTCAGGCCACTCGTCTGCCTACTCGCCACTCGCTCTCAGCTCTGCCTTCGGATGAGTCCGTAGAGTCGAGTGGCCCGTACCCAGAGCTTGTTGGCTGCCTCATGTACCTGATGACCTGCACACGACCTGACCTTGCATACCCTCTTAGCATTCTCGCACGCTATGTTGCTCCTGGGAGACACAGACCGGAGCACATGGCTGCAGCGAAGAGGGTGTTGCGCTACTTGTGCAGTACGTCGGGCATGGGGCTTGTGCTTGGAGGGCAGAGTCCAGTGGTCCTCACTGGGCACGCAGACGCTTCTTGGGCTGACGACCAGGCTACGCAGCGGTCGTCACAGGGTTACACCTTCAGCCTTGGTTCCGGCTCTGTTTCGTGGCGGGCTACCCGCTCGTCTTCTGTTCTCGGCTCCAGTTGTGAGGCTGAGATCTACGCCGGGGCCATGGCTGCACAGGAGCTTCGCTGGCTCACCTACCTGCTGACTGACCTCGGAGAGCCGCCTCGTTCTCCTCCAGTGCTGTACGTAGACAACAAGGCCATGCTGGCCTTGTGTCGAGAGCAGAGACTGGAGCACAGAACGAAGCACATTGCTCTCCGCTACTTCCTTGCTCGTGAGCTACAGCAGCGTGGTCAGCTGCGGCTTGCGTACGTGGCCTCTGAGGCCAACACTGCTGATATCTTCACCAAGGCACTTGCGCCTTGTGATCATCAGCGCTTCTGTACTCAGCTGGGTCTTGTGCCTACCTTGCCTCACTTGCTCACCCCTTGACCTTGTTTGTACTGTTGCATATATATATACACCTGCTCTTGCTTGTCTAGCCTTATATATATATGTAATCCTGCATGTGAACTGGCCTTGTGGCCTTGAACTTGTGCTCGGAATGTGTGGTGACTTTGTGATCCACCCTGAGCTTGCTTTGCTTTGCTTGACTGGTCTTGTGACCCCTTGTTCTCCCCCACTTTGCCTATGGGGGTGTGTCAGATTTATATGACATAGCTACTGTAGGCTATAGTGGGGTAGCACATATAGGGTACAGTTGTCTAGGGTTTGTATTTGTACCCAACTTTCCCTTAGTCAATTCATTCTAGTTCAGTTTCTCAGGAAGCGTTAGCGAGCTGGAAGGGCAAGGCGGTGAAAGCGGCGATGAACGAGGAGATTCGAAGTCTCATCACCAACGGCACATGGGAGCTGGTGAAGCGCCCGCACGGCGTCAATGTCATGAAGAACCGATGGGTTCTGACGATGAAGTACCATGTCGACGACACGGTTGCCCGCGAAAAGGCGCGCCTGGTGGTGAAAGGCTTCACGCAGATCTACGGAGCTGATTACGACGAGACGTATGCACCGGTCGGGAGCTACGTCACGCTGCGGATTTTTCTCAGCATCGTCGCCGTTCTCGATCTGCACCTTATGCAGCTGGACATGAAGAATGCGTTTCTACAGAGCAAGCTCGATCGCGTGCTCTACATGGATCAGCCGGCTTACTACAACGATGGTACCGGCCGCGTATGCAAGCTGCTGAAGAGTTTGTACGGGCTGAAACAGAGTCCTCTGCTGTGGTACTCGGCGCTCGACTCTGTGCTGACTGGCGCTGGCTGGAGCAAGAGCCAGGTGGACGAGGCTCTCTATTTCAGAGTTGGCGACGACGGAGTGGCGTGCTGGGTGCTTGTCTACGTCGATGACCTGCTCGCCGCTAGCAGCAGCACTGCGATGCTGAAGGAGCTGAAGGAGCTTCTGGAGGCTGCCTTTGAGCTACGCGAGATCACCCCGGTCGAGAAGTATTTGGGGCTCGAAATCGTGCGCGACCGTCCGGCGCGGAAGCTGTGGCTGCACCAGCAGTCCTACGTCGACAAGCTGCGTAGGTGCTTCATCGACGAGGAGCAGACTGGTCGGCGTCCGAAGACACCTGTTTCCGTCGACGCGTATGCCGAGCTGACTTTCGACGACGAGGACTTCCAGTCGCGCGAAGAAGAGGAGTACCGTCAGAAGGTCGGTTCGCTGCAGTTCGCTGCCACAACAACTCGGCCCGACATTGCTTTCGCGCGTAGCAAGCTGGGGTCTGGTCTGACAGTGAGGAGCGACCAGCATTGGCGCGAGGTCGATCGCTGCCTCAATTATCTCTCTAACACGCACGATTGTGCCCTGGAGTTCGGGGGCGGACCCGAAACTCTGAAGCTGGTCGGCTACGCGGACCCAGACGACGCTGGCGACAAGCAGACTCGCATCAGCACGAGTGGCTACATTTTCACCTTCGGCGGCGCAGCTGTCTCCTGGACGAGCCAACGCATCAAGTGCGTAACTCTGTCCTCTATGGAGTCAGAGTACATTGCAGCCACTGAAGCTGGCAAGGAGGCTCGTCGACTTCGGTACCTCCTCGCCGAGTTCCAGCTCCTTGATGCTGGGACGCCAACTGTTCTGAACGTGGACAATTAGTCTGCTATCGCTGTCGCTGAGGGCTTGGGGCTGAAGGGCAACCTCAAGCACATGGAGCGACGCTACGCCTGGCTGCAGCAGATGGTGAAGCGCAAGAAGATTGCGCTGGAGTACATCCCGACATCCGAGCAGCCGGCGGACTTCCTTACGAAAGGGCTGCACTTTCCGACCTTCAACCGGTGCTCTGTCGCAGTCGGTCAGGTTCGCCTTGCCGAAGTCGGCGACGACGACGACGTGCAGCAGTAGGTGCCATGTCCTCTAACATGGCTGGTGCGGTGATCGGCGTGCGGAGGTGTGCACGCCAGAGAAATATCCCCTTATATTCTTTTAATTAGGTTCTGGGTGGACCTTGTGTGTGGGGGCCCAAGCTCGAGCTGGGCAGGGGAGTGTCGAGGAGAAAAGGCCCCGCCCTTGCTTGGGCAAAGTCGGCCATGCTTTTCGGAGCACAACGGTGTTCGTTTCGTGGTCATCGGCGACTTCAAGGACTTTTATCTCTGAACGACGGGTCGATTTTCGAGAAGATTAAGTCGTCGAAATTGAAGTGTTGTTTCTGCTCTACGCATTTTTTTTTTTTTGCTTATATGAATTATACACCAGAACACAAGTGTACAACGCATAAACAGTCGTAACTGTGCATGAGAGACATGGGAACCCGCCTCAGAATGTTCGATCCTCAAACATGGATCCGGGGCCTGCGAGGTTTGCCCCAAATTGCTGCGAAGCTGTTGGACCACTTCCAACCTTTGCCATCCACTACTCTGATGCGGTTCAGAAGATCACGCTCTTGCACTGCCATTTTCCGCCACCTGTCCTGCTGTTCCTTCCCACGCTGCTGCATCCTTGTCGCAGAAGCTCGCAGATAAACGTTTACGTGCATGCGGAGGGCCGACTCAATTCTCCGCAATACCCTTCGCGTGCGGAATTTACAGCCTTGGAAGGCCCCTTCACACCTTTCCGCCCATAGCCGATGGAGGGCAATCGTAATCAATGTAGCCTCCGAAAATGCTGACTGGGACTCGGCTTTGCCAAACAGCCAATCAGCGATAAGGTAAATCGGAACTACCCGTCGACAAGGTACTTGTCGAGGGGAGCAAATCGGCGTCAAAATCGAGCCTTGCAGGTCGACGGAATTGGAGAAAACAGCGTTTCGACGAAACGCTGGTCGACGGAAGTAAGCTCGAAAAAGGCATCGTCGAGCAGAGCGATTCCGATCGACCAAAATTACTTGTCTCCGAAATTTGCAATGTGCGCGAATTTCGACCAATCGCGAAACAGCAAATTTCGACCAATCAGAGCATTTCGGAAATTGTACTCCCCAGGAGATTTCGAATCAGTAAGGAAACTGAAACTGAAACACGTTTTTACTAACAGTAAAAACGTAAACAACTATGAACGTTGGAAACTTGAGAAGCTGCCAACTCAGGAGAAAGACACAAGTGCTTGTCGTTTCACCTGGCGTTGCTGACTCGGAAAGGTCGAGCGTTTGTCGAGAACGTTTCTCCAGGGTTCATTGTGCTTGCTATTTGGGATCTCTTTCCTTGTACCATAATCTTGTTCTATCAAATTTTCTTAGTGAAACTATGCTCGAATTGTACTAAGTCATTCAAACACTCTGTCCAGAATCACTGCCAGAACTCTGACCGTGCATCACACGCAATTCAGTTCTCCCTTAGAATAGAATTCTCCGCATGCACAATGTGTCAGCAAAGCAGAATTTGCCTCTCGATTGCCGATGTTTCCTTTTCCGCATCGCTTTCTTTCCCCTCGCTACCACTGCCTCCTGTTTTCCGGACGTTTACACATGCGTCTCCTCCCCACTCAATGCCCACCTTTTTCTTTGCCACTTCTCTCTATCCTCACGCCATCTTTACGTTCTCTACACCCCCTCGCCTTCATGCAGGTTGACGTGTTGCTCCTTTTTACACCCGCTCCATCCATAGTAGAAGCACCACCAGAATCAGCACCACCAGCAGCAGCTGAGGGGGGTGAAGGCGTCGGTGCTGCCCCTCCTGTCAGCACCTCTCCCCAGCTCCGCCTGCTGCTCTCCTTCCCCGCCTGGCAAGGCTGCCTGCAGGGCGAGGGGTGCGCAGCGGTGCAGAGCGGTAGCCATTGCAGAGAGGGGGGTGGCGAGCAGGGGGAGCGGGAGGCGGGACAGGAGGAGGGGGAGGGCAGGGAAGCAGGTGGATGAGGAGGAGAGGGGCAGAAGAGTTTGGCAGAGGGGGCATGGGGATTAGCGGATCCGAGCTTGGATGATGCGTGCTGCTCGCTCTCCCTCCTTCCCCACCTGCCCAATGCTGCTGCCACGCCAGGAGATGACGCCACAGATAGAGACACAGCCGATCCGGGGGTGCAGGGGGAGCAAGGAGTGCAGGAAGAGCAGGCGATGAGACAGGTGTGGTTGCTGGTATCTGTGTCACACAATGGGTTGGTGTGCGTGCGAGAGGTGGCGCTGGTGCCTAGGCGGGGCAGAGGGGAGCCTGAGAGTGTGGGGGAGGGAGAGAGAGGGAGTGGGAGGGGGGAGGAGTTGGAGGAAGGGGAGGAGTTGGAGGAGGGGGAGGAGGTGAGTGAGGGTGAGGAGGAGGGAGGAAGAGAGGGGGTGGGAGAGGGGCAAGAGGGGAGAGTGGAGCAAGATGAGGGTGCAGAGTGGGAGGCGGAGCAGCGGCTGGTGCGACGGTTTGTGGCGATTGCACCGCGCAAGCCATCAAAGAAGAAGAGGAAGGGACAGGGTGGTGCTGAGAGTGACGTGGGTGGCGAGTCAGGCGCAGGAGGGGGCTCAGGTGATATGACTGCTGCTGCTGGTGCTGGTTTTGCCATTGGTGGTGCTGCTGCGTCTGCCAGCGGTACAGGTGGTGTGGGTGCGACAGGAGGGGGAGCAGAGAGGCCTCGTCTCCTCTGTGCTGCTGTCGACCCCACCGGAGCCACCATTGCCGTTGGCGGGTCAGTACTCTCCCCTTCGCCCCTCGCTGTCCCCTCACGTGTTTTTGTCATCAATATCGCGCTGCTGGTGCTGGTTTTGCCATTGGTGGTGCTGTTGCGTCTGCTAGTGGTACAGGTGGTGTGGGTGCGATAGGAGGGGGGGCAGAGAGGCCTCATCTGCTCTGTGAAGCTATCGACCCCACTGGAGGCCCCATCGCTGTTGGCAGGTCAGTGCTCTCCCCTTCTGTCCTCCTTTCATTTTCTCTCCTATTCTCCGCTTCTCCTCCTTCTGTCTCTCTTACTCGCCCTGCCACCTTTACTCCTCGTCTGCTCTATGCCGCTGTCGACCCCGCTGGAGCCACCATCGCTGTTGGCGGGTCAGTCAGTGCTCTCCTCTCTTATCCGCCTTCTTCTACTCGTTGTCTCGCTTCCGCTGCTTCTCAATCACCTCTCTCTGACTTCTTTATTCACTCCTCTCTTACCCTCATCGTTTCTTTCCATTATGATGCCCCAATTCCTTCTCCATGCCCTAACCGTCTTTCTTCACCCCTCGCTGTCCCCTCACGTGTTTTTGTCATCAATATCGCGCCTACCCTGACTGTGAAACTCACTACACTGCAGGAGGGTAGCGGACCTGACAATGTGGCACCTCTCTTGCCCAATTTTCACCCTCCTTATCATCACTTCTTCTCTCCCTCTCACCCCTTCTGTATGACATCCATCCTGTGCCCTTTCTGTTTTCCCCACTGCACGGCAGCAAGGAAGCGGAACTCACAGTGTGGGACCTCCACACGGGCACACTCAAGTGGGAGGCCAAGCTGGTGGGTGCACTCAACCGCTCTTGTCTTGTCATCCATATTTTGCCCCCTCTGTGTATCCCCACTATGCGGCAGGAAGGACGCGGACCTGACAGTGTGGGACTTTCAAACGTGTTCACTCAAGTGGAAGGCCAAGATGGTGGGTGCACTTGCCTCTCTCTGCCTCCCTCCCTCCATTTCCCTTGTTTTCCTTCCTTCGCCTTGTGTTACCCCTTCTGCCTCCCCTTTTTCTAGATCTCCATTCTCTGCATACTCCTCCCATATCCCTCTCCAAACTCTCCCACGCCCTTGCCCGCACAACGTACCCAAGGCCACGCCCGGTCTGATACGGTGTGCTGGCCTCCTTTCTCTCCTTCCTCAATCCTGTGTACACTCACCCCACCTTCCAATACCGGCCCCCTACCACATCCCCCCCTCACACCCCCAAGCTTCTCTTGAGGTCATACGCATAGTTGCGCCAAGATATTTAAGCCTCGTGTCTCTCATCCGTCAATCAAAACCTTGTTCCCCTGCCTCCCATTTCCACCCTGTTCCCGTACGGCGTGGTGGCACCAAAGCACGTGATAGCGGTGTGCCACGTCAGCACATGCCACCCGGCGTGCCTCGTCACCGCCTGCCAGGACAACTCGTTACGAATCTTTGATCTCCTTTTGCAGCCGCGCCCCCTCAGAGTCGTCTCTCTGGGCTCCGTGCCCATCCGCTCGCTTGCTGCTGTCTGGCCCAACCGTGGGGGTGCGGAGGAGTGAAGTGCGGTGACAGTGGGAACGGTCATGGGGGAGATGAATCTGGTGGATCTGACACACGGTGAGTGGCGGTGTCTGGTTGGCTTGCCGCTACTGGTAGAGCATGTAGAATGCAGGTAGGGCTATCACAGCGCGCCAGGACAACTCGCTGCGAATCTTCGACCTCCTCTTGCAGCCGCGGCCCTTAAGAGTTGTTTCTCTGGGCTCCGTGCCAATTCGTTCGCTTGCTGCTGTGTGGAGCAAGGGTGGGGAGGAGTGCAGTGCGGTGACGGTCGGAACGGGCATGGGAGAAATGAAGCTGGTGGATCTGACATACGGTGAGTCAGTGGCCGTGGTGGGATGCAGTGCTACCAGGTGGTACCAAGAAGTGCAGAGAATGCAGTTCAGATCAACATGAATCAGCAATGTCTCAAGGTGTGGCCAGGAAAAGCGCAAGCTGAAAGGATGACATCATATGAGGATGGGGGTCACATGAGGATGGGGGTCACACGAGGATGGGGGTCACATGAGGCAGGCACGAAAGACGACCTTGCAGTGGAGGATTCATGGTTCTCACTTGTCCTGCACCTGTCACTGGGCATGGGCAATGGGCGAGTAGAGTTTGTACTGCACCTGTCGCTGCTCCTCTTGCTCTATCCAACCCTTGCACTGTCACCGCCGTGACCTGCTGCAGTACCGCTCGCACCGCACTGAACCGCTTCTCTCATCTGGATTCATGTTATCACGTGTACTGCACCTGTCGCTGCTCGTCTTGCTCTATCCAAGCCATGCGCTGTCACCACTGTGACCCGCTACAGCAGCGCTGGCACCGCACTGAACCGCTTCTCTCATCTTGATTCATGTTCTCACTTGTCCTACACCTGTTGCTGGGCATGGGCAATGGGCGAGTAGAGTTTGTACTGCACCTGTCGCTGCTCGTCTTTCTTTATCCAAACCATGCACTGTCACCGGCGTGACCTGCTGCAGAAACCTGCGCTCTGATTGGTTAGCAGCAGCACTGGCACCGCACTGACCTGCTTCCTTTGTCTGCACTCGCATTGGGTAGCATTCAACAGCACGATCCAGTGCCACACATCGATGAACTTTGGCTCGTTAAAACAATCCCATCCCCTCCTTTTCCCTCCCTTCTCCTCCCCTCCCATTCCCGCCCCTACCCCCCTCTCCTCTACCCTCCCCCACCTCCGCCCTCCCCTTTCCTTCCCTCCTCTACCCTCCCCCACCCGCCTCTCCCCTCCCCTACCTTCCTCTCCAATCCCTTCCCCTCCTGTCCTCTCCCCTGGCCTTGCCTACCCGCCCAGCCTCGACACCCTTACCTGCTGGCCCCTGCGCACACTACGCGCATGCCAGAGGTCGCATCGCTGGAGTATTCAAGGGCGAGTGTGTGGGCTCCATTCGTTCCCTCGCCATGTACCAATCGCTGCCTCTTGTGGCCTCATGCGGTATGTTACTGCCACTTGTGCGCCATGTTTGCACTCACCCGTTCAAGGGCGAGTGTGCAGGATTTACTTGCTCACTGGCCATGCACCCATCGCTGCCTCTCGTGGCGTCCTGTGGTATGTGTTGGTCTGTGCTCTGCCCATACACTTGCCTTGCGCACCCTGTGTGCATTCACCCGTTCAAGGGCTCCATTCGTTCCCGCGCATAGCAGTGGAGGAGAAGGTGGGGGTGATTCCAATGTACTACTTCAATGAAACCCGGGTAAGTGCAACTCCTCGCCCCATGCTCATGCGTAGGCATTTAGCATAAAGCAGCAACATGCATTGCACTGCATACTTGCTTGTTCCTTTCAATGCTGGATGGGGTGGTTGGGTTGCTTGTTCCTTTCAATGCTGCTCACCTTTCTGTTTCTCCATTTCTTATATGCCTTATAACTCCTTTCTGCACTTCCATTTGTCACAATGGTGCAGTTGTTCAAGCACGATCCATTGTGGCTGCTCCAGTTCTGGGCTGTGGTAAACCGCTATTGGCGCATTAACGTCCCGTTTATGAGGAGGGTATGGCACATGCCAATGCCCTTCCGCAGGTATGGCAATAGCTTGTCTAGTTGATGCAAGGAAGTCTTTTTCAATTTGCATTCTGACTCTGTTTGTTTCTTGACATGGAAGGAACTATTAATTTTGATTGGGAAGCCTCTATTCGCACAAGATGGAGAGACAGTTGATGAGTTTCATGCTCGATACGTGGATGAATTGTCCGTTATCTTCCATAGATTCGTCCAAGTATCATCTCGACCGAAACACAAGCTGTTGATTCACTAGAAATTGTGACCACGAAGTTGGTTGTAGGATGGAATTGTCAGGTTTATACGATATGATAGGTAGTGGCAGGTGTTAAAATATTAACACATATTGTTGTACACAAGGTAAAATTATTAAAGCAGTTTCAATTTGGAACATCATCTGCACTAAAAAAACAGGAGTGGATTTAATCACAGCTGTTAGCGGGGACATCGTAATCGTCGTGCGCACCTATCTTCTCCCTTCTCTTTCTTGCTCGAGACCAGAGATCTGCTGGTAGGGTTGTTTTTAGGGTTTCACTGCCCTCAGCCGCAAGGATTCCGGGACCAAATAATGGACAGATTACTAGCGATACAGTCTCTTTGCAATCAAATTGCGGTTTGATTAAACGTCATGGCGCCCGTCCGCGAGGCTCATTTCCCCGTGCCAGTGCTCTCTGATAACCCCGACGGCTGGGGTCCCACCACTCTCCCAGAGCAATTTGAAGATGTCCCGTACGCGCCATTCAATAAGGGGGAATGCGTCGGCCGCGCGGCGGACTGGACCTCCCAAGGATACCGTATGTCTCGTGCCGCGTGCCGTGCGCCGCGGTCTCACACTTTTGAACCCTAGCTCGCATTCCGCTATGTTTATCCGATTCGATCGCGTTACATGGAATTAGTGGCACCTCAGGCTGTAACGGTCAGATCGCTTGCTACAATCAGGCCACTGCTAGTGGTTAGGGGCTGATCCCATTAGCGAGAATTTTAGCGAGTCTTTGATTCCACTGATCCTGGTGCTGTTCGAGGTCATCGCCTCTCGAGGTCCCATGTTGTTCTTTTAGCGTTTATCGGGTGGTCAAAAACCGAGTCCCAATCTCGCTCCCCTCTCCTTCGCGCATCCGTCGCTTAATTTTGCCGATCTCGCAGGTCGTTATGATCGCGATCGCCAAGGCGGGGCGGGCGGGGTCAATGCCGCCTTCTCCTTCTTCCAGGACCAGGATGAGGTGGGTGTCGTCCGTTGTCGCGCGACGTACAACAGCTCCATGGACATCCGGCCCGAGTGGGTCGTGCTGGAGCAGATCTTGCTTTCCGCGCTCTTGAAACTCTCTTTCAATGCGGGGGGGGGGGCCCAAGGACGTGTGAGTTGAAAAGTGGGGGCGGAGGGGAGGCAAGGGGAGAGGGGGAGAGGGTTGGAGGGAGAGAGGCATGGGGGGAGGGAGGTAGGAAGAGAGGGGAGGCGGAAAGAGAGGGAGATAGTGTGAGATTGTTGGTTTTTTTACCCTGTCTTACCATTGCAGTATTCCTTCATTCCTCACCCCCTTCCCTCCCTTATACTTGCTTCCCCTTCCCTTTATTCCCTTCTCCTTCTTGTTGTGGGTCATTTTCCCTTTCTCACACACCCCTCATGGTCCTGTGCGCCCCTTACTCCTATGCAGTACGACGTGCGGTGCGCTGGAGTATTACGACAAGACGTTTGACCAATTCAACCCGAAGGTATGACCGTTGATGCCCATGCCCCATGTTCCAGTCATCCTTTCAGACCTTTGCGCCCGCTCCTTTTCTCCCCCTCCCCACCATACTACCTCATCAACTTCTCCCCACCTCTCCCTCCCCACCCCCCCCCCCCCCCCTCCCCTCCCCACTCGTCCCCCCTCCCCCCTTCTTCTTCCCTCCTCCCCAACCCCTTCACTCACTTCAGTCGGAGCGGCCATTGGAGAGGTGCGAGACGAGGCAGCTCCACAAGGTGACGATGAGCGATGACCCCGTGGTGAAGCGACTGGCAGCAGAGGGCGGGGACGCACCCGCCGTGTTCGCCACGGACGCCATTCTCTCCACGCTCATGTGCGCGCCGCGCTCCGTGTACTCGGGGGACGTCGTGGTTCCAAAGAGCGGGGGGGAAATGTTCTTCAACCAGCGGGACTCTTCGTTCCACTTGCTCACGGTGAGTGGTTCTGGAGTGTTTGACAGTGCGGCGTTTGGTGTGGTGAGGTGGGATGCATGGCGTGTGCTCCTTGGCAGATGGCGCTGCAGAAGCTGCCAACCACATGTTCGACCAGAACTATCCGTTGCGCGAGTTCAACCTGCCCGCCTGCGCCGGCAACTTCTTTTTTAATGCTGCAAAGCTCAGCCTCGTCGGCTCCACTGTTGGTGCCCTGGGGAGGCTTGCCTCCGACGCCATTCTCTCAGCCGTCTCTAAAGGGTAAGCCTAGTAGGCACCTCATTGGCTCCCATTGCTTGCTTTATGATTGTGTTCACAATTCCCAACTCATGCTTGCTGCTGCCTGCTGCTCTCCGTGTCGCATTTGTTCTTTGGCCTCAGTACTCTCCCAGCCTCTCCTGCCCAGCCATCTCCCGCCCCGCATTTTTCAGTCCACCCACCTTCACACTCTTGCCCTTGAACATACATACCCAACCGCACAACCTCCCCTCTCACTATTTCCCCATTTCTCCCTTCCATCTCCCCCCTCTCCCCCATCCCCCTCTCTGTCCCTTCCCCGTGCTGCAAGGAGGGGTTCTGGCCGTCAGTGGTGGTGCCGTCAGCAAGCACGAGTGCAGCGGCGTATGGGGAGCACACATGACTGTCAAGCAACCTGTGCTACCAGCTGCTGTACAGACTTGACCGCATGCTGCTGCAGCACTTCAACCACATCCCTGTTGCTGTCCTCGGCACCACTGCTCTCAGGTGGGTGGGCGTCTCAGGTTGCAGGCATCACACACGAAAAGGGGGGAGGGTGGGGTTACACACGCACAGGGTGCTCGGGTTATGCACAGGGCTGCTGTGGTGGGGTTAGAAGTTAACACGAGGTTGTCAGGCAACTTGCACTGCAGCAGCACTTGAACTACATCCCCGAGTGGGCTTCTCCAGTTACACACACATGGGTCACTCGGGCTGCCTACAGGGTTGTTTGTTGGGCTGCATCACAGGGATGTGGGATTGCACTCGAGGATGTTGAGCAACCAACTTGTGGGCAGTGGGAGGGAGGTAACCAGTGATGTGATTTTCTGCAGGCACATTTACATTGCCATGGACCACCAAGAGGTTCTATGACGTGATATTAGTGAGTCGTCTCTGAGATTGTCTTGCGTTGTCATGCATGATGTTATCATATGCAGGTGCAGCAATGTTCAATTGGGCGAGCCGTATGTGGCTGGGGATGGATCTTAGAATACTAGGCAGGAATGATTGCACTATGAAAGAGGTGGGTACAAATATGAAACCCTAGAATGGGCTATACCCCATATTGGCTACCCCACTATAGCCTAAACATATATAGCATATATAGTTTGACACACCCCCATAGGCAAAGTGGGGGAGAGCAAGGGGTCACAAGACCAGTCAAGAGAAGCAAAGCAAGCTCAGGGTGGATCACAACGTCACCACACACACTAAGCACAAGCAAAGGGCCACAAGGCCAGTTCACATGCAGAGGTATATATACAACAACAACAGCACAGTGATCTCTACCTAGCAGAGCAAGTATGCAGGTATATATATAGATCACAGTACAAGCAAAGTCTACAGTAAGTGAGGAAACGTGGGCACAAGGCCTAGCAGAGTGCAGAAACGCTGATGATCACGAGACGGAAGTGCCTTGGTGAATATATCAGCAGTGTTGGCCCGAGTGGCCACGTGAGCAAGACAAAGCTGACCACGCTGCTGCAACTCTCGACCCAGGAAGTCACGCAGAGCGATGTGCTTCGTTCTGTGCTCCAGTCTGTGCTCCTGGCACAAGGCAATGGCGGCCTTGTTGTCGACGTACAGCACTGGAGGAGAACGAGGCCTCTCTCCCAAGTCAGTCAGCAGGTAGGTGAGCCAGCGTAACTCCTGTGCAGCCATGGCTGTGGCGTAGATCTCAGCCTCACAACTGGAGCTGAGAACATAAGACGAGCGTGTAGACCGCCAAGAAACAGAGCCAGAGCCAAGACTGAAGGTGTAACCCTGTGACGACCGCTGCGTAGCCTGGTCGTCAAACCAAGAAGCGTCCGAGTGCCCAGTGAGGACAACGTCGCCCCGTCCTCCAAGCACGAGCCCTATGCCCGATCTACTGCACAAGTAGCGCAGTACCCTCTTACCACCATCCATGTGCACCTTTCGGTGCCGACCAGGAGCCACGTAGCGAGCGAGAAGGCCAAGAGGGTACGCAAGGTCAGGACGAGTGCAGGTCATCTGGTACATGAGGCAGCCCACTAGCTCTGGGTAAGGACCACTCGGCTTTACGGACTCGTCCAAAGGTGGAGCTGAGAGCGAGTGACCTGTAGCCAGAGGAGTGGCCTGTGCCGAGGACCAGGTGAAGCCGAAGCGCTGAAGGACCTGCTGCACCATGTGTGACTGAGTCAGTGTGATGGTGCGGCGTGCTCTGTCCCGGGTGATCTGCAAGCCAAGGTAACTGCGCAGCTCACCCAGGTCTGTGCACGTGTGTCTCTTCTGCAGCTCCGACTTCACCAGGGCGAGAGCCTCAGTGTCAGCAGTGGCAAAAACCAAGTCGTCGACGTACACGAGGATGTAGAACGGCGGCAGCGAAGTGTCGGTGCGCAGAAAAAATGTCGGTGCGCAGAAACAGCGACGGGTCAGCAGTCGACGGAGCAAACCCAAGAGCTGCAAGTGTCGTCCTCAGTGTGTCGTGCCACTCACGTGGCGCCTGGCGGAGACCGTAGAATGGCCGCCGGAGGCTCCACTGGGTACCAGGAGGGAACGACCCAGTGAAGCCAGGCGGGCGGCGCAGCCAGATCTCCTCGTGCAGGCTGCCCTGTAAGAAAGCTGTGCTGAAGTTAAGAGAGTGAAGCTCGTAGCCACGCTGAGCGGCAACGTGCAGCAACACCCGAAGAGTGGTCATCTTCGGGGTGGGGGAGAAGGTCTGGAAGAAGTCAACTCCCTCTCGCTGACTGAAACCTCGAGCAACGTAACGAGCCTTGAAGACAGGCGGAGAACCTGGCGGCCGCTTCACCCTGAGAATCCACATGCCATCGACAATGTTCGCCCCAGGAGGGGGAACCTCGTCAACGTAAGTGCCTGTGGACTTCCAGGATGCCATCTCTGCGTCCATGGCTGTCTGCCACTGAGAGGAGTACTCACCCGCGATCGCGTCAGCGTAAGAGCGCGGGGTCGGGATGTCTGGAGCATCCGGGTCTCCCTCAGGGGCAAGCAGCATGGCGACGAGATGAGGCGCCGCGGCTGCAAGACACTCAAGGTCCTCCTGCCTGTCCTCAAGGACGTCCGTGCCAAGAGCATACTCACCCTCGACGGACGGAGGACAGACAGACTCAGACTTAGCAACGAGACTAGCGGTGTAGTCTAGACGACAGGCAGCAGCAAAGTCAACAAGCTCAGCGACGAAGGCAGACGCAACAGCAAACTCAAATGACGGGTCAGTGACAACAGTGGCTAGCAGACGCGTGACAGTAGGGTGCTCAACACGAAACCGGTTAGACTCAGGGTCAGCAATGACAGGCAGAGAAGACGTAGGAGGAGATGACAGAGGAACCCACTGCGGAGTAGAGGACGGACACAGAGCCATGAGGTGTGTGCCGGAGACAGCCGGCGGACGCGGACGAGGAACACGACGACAAGTGTGGACAGGCGAGAACAGGACGCGACGCACGCTCATAACGCTCAGCAAGACCTCCTGGCTGCTCAGTGTAAGGAGAAGGAGCAGGTAGTGGTGAGCCAGGCTGTAACCGGCCTCTAACCAGGCCCCCTCCACTTGGTAAAATACATTGAGACCATCAAACATTGAAGTACAAAAGTAGAAAACACCACTGACTACAAAATTCCATCCACTATATTGTACACTGCTAGCTTCTGCCACGTGTCAGCCCCTAATAGGGCCTCCCCTCCTAAAGAGTATGCTAGCGACCAGCAGGCAAGCAGGGAGAAAGTGACACTGCAGCCAATGGCTGATCCCACCACATCTGAGAGAGAATGTGAGGAGAGAGAGAAGGGAGGAAATGAAGAGGAGATTAAGGAGACGATTCACGGGGAGAGTTAGGGGGGGGAAGGCAACACTGCAACCAATGGCTCAGCCCACCATGTCTGTAATGCGGGAGGGAGCGGACATAGGGAGAACGGGAAGGTGGGAAAGAAGTTCAGAGGAAGAAGAGGCACGGAAGGAGAAAGCAACACTGCGGCTGATGGTGAGCCGACCATGTCTGAAATGAAAGGGAGAGGGAGAGGGAGAGAAAACGGGGAAGGGAGGGAGGGGAAAAAGTGATTGGGCAGGGAAGGAGAAGGCTACATTGCAGCCAATGGCTGAACCCACCACGTCTGGATGAGGGTGGGGGGAGAGGGATATGGGGAGAACGGGTTGGTGGGAAGGAGGTTCAGAGGAAACTGCAGGAGGAAAGGCAGGGAGGGAGCAGGCGAAACTGCAGCCAATGGCAGAGCCTACCACGTCTGTGATATGATGGGAGGAGAAGGCAGAAGGGGGAAGGGGGAAGGAGATGAAACGGGGAAGAATGGGAGCGTTGGGGGATTTATTGAGGAGAGAGGGCAGAAGGGAGAAAGAGGCAGTGCAATGAATGGCAGATCCCATCACTTCTGTGAAAGCGAATGGAGGGGGAGAGGGGGCGGAAGTGGTGGGCGGAGGTTCAGAAAGTGGTGGGCGGAAGGGGCAAGGGAGGGAAGAGAAGGCAAGTTGGTTTTGCAGAGTTGTCAAGAAGAACCAACTTGGCGACAGTGCAGCGAATGGCGGGGCCCCCCACACGTCAAATAAACGGAGGAGAGAAGGGGAAACGTTGAAGGATAGGGAGAAAAAATGGTGAAGAATGGGAGGGGTGGGAGAATTATTCCGGAGAGGATGCAGGGAGAACTCGACAGAGCAGGGAGAAATCGACAGAGCAGGGAGAAGTCGACAGAGCAGGAAACAGCAGATCCCAGCATGTTTAAGGGAAAATGTGACAGGGGATAAGAGCCGGGTATAGAAGAGGAGGCAAGTTTGAGACGTCTCAAGACACGTTTAAGGGCAAATGTGACAGGGGAGAAGAGCAGGGTATAGAAGGGGAGGGAAGGTGGGCAAGAAGGAAGACGGGGAGGGAGAGAAGGCAGCAACAATACAGAAGCCACTCGGTAAAAAGAAAGACATGGGGTGAAAGGAAGAACGAAAAGCAATTGGGAAACGGGACGGAGGGGAGAGGGAAGAATGAGGGATGGACGGAGGGAGAGGGGGGACTGAAGTGGGGGAAGTGGAAGGAGATAAACGGAAAGATGAGAACGATAAGTAACAGATTTACGGGAACACATTCAAACTCACAAAACAAAAAGGGTAGAGCAAAGGGCAGGAGGAGGGAGGGGTGGAAGTGGGGAGGGATGTGAGTAAAAAATCAGTCAAGTGGGAAGGAAGGACGGGAGAACCGAACAGAGAGATTGGGAACGACTCAAAGGTCATCCTTTGTTACTCACAGGATTGAAACTGGGGGTCGTAAACGGGCCAGGATCAGGGCAGGGATAGAGGGGGAAAATGAAGGGGAAGGAGGGACGCAAGAAGAGCTGAATATATATATGCGGTACTACAACAGACTCTGTCAATTATACTCACAGGATCGCAGCAGGGGATCGTGGCCGGCGTTGTAGCGAAGCACGGGCCAGAAGAAGTAGCAGTTAACGAACCACAGCCAGGGCAGCAGCAGGAAACCTCCCAGAAAGAACCCCCGCGCGAGGCTCCGAGCCGCGTCGTCTGACAGCCCGACGTCGCCGTCGACCGTTAGATGCCGCGCGGCCGTCGCGTCGGGAACGGCGGCCCGCGCGGGTGGCGCCATGGGCTAGTAGTAGACTCGGGAGTGAGAGGACCCTCACATGAGCCTTCTGAAGTGGACTGCCCAGGGGGATCGTGGCTGGGGAAAGCGTGTCCCTGAAAAGCGTGTCCTGCGGGGAAAGCGTGTCCTGCGGGGAAAGCGTGTTCTGCGGGGAAAGCGTGTTCTGCGGGGAACGCGTGTCCTGCGGGGAAAGCGCGTCCTGCGGGGAACGCGTGTCCTGCGGGGAATGCGTGTCCGGGGGAAGCGTGTCCTGCGGCTGATGAAACGTCCCCGAATCGAGATTAAAGACGATTGAAAAAAACGTGTCCGGGAGGAACCTGTGTCTCGGGAAAGCGTGTCCTGCGGCTTCTGACACGACCCCGAACCAGCGATAGAAAAAACGTGTCTCGGGGGAACAGGTGTCCCGGAGAATCGGGGACTGCGGCTGACAGGCTGGCTCAGTTTAGAAAGGCTCTACGTGACGGGCTGCGGCGAGGGGAGGCCTTTCACAGCAGTAGAGCAAGTGAGCGAGTCGCGGACATAGGTCTCTCTCCTGCCTGGTTCATCAGTGGTATGGCGTGGCTGTTGTATGGCGTCGCTAGTTCATCAGTGTCCGTGTATAGATTTTTGTACGATTTTGAGAGTGGCTGAGCCAGTGGGTCAGTGCATAATTCGTGCAACGTCGCGAACAACATTCTGTAACTGTAGCCTTGAAACGAGCCTTGATGGCTACAAGCAACTTAGTACGCTTTTTTTTGCCAAGATAAGAACTTATACCTTACTGAAGTCGTACTTTAGAGAGTATATTCCAGGTCCGCCACTTTTGCCCCAGTGAGTGTACAGTATATACTCTTACTCTCTGGTCAAATTGAAGTACACCGTATGTAAATGCGATACGCAACTGTATGTATGTGATGCTGTGTAAATATCTGGAAGTTATTATCTTGTCAGAAGTCGCCCCGCACCCCCACATCTAGGCATGGTTCACCGCTTCTCATGACGACCTTGCCTGCCATCTTTGTACCGTACCTCGCTAGTCGTTAGGGTGTGTCAGATCCTTCAAAACCTGTTTTGGCTGGATATTTGTCGACCATTTGGTCGTCAAATTGTTTTCGCGAACGTCGACGCATTGGTCGAATTTTGGTCGACAAATTACGGCTGTGTTTGCAAATCTGACACGTTTGGTGGCTGATTTGCTGGCCGCTTATCAAATGTGTCAGATTTGTTGGCCGGATTGCTGCGACGGGGTCGCAGATTTCGTAGCGATACAAGTGACGATGACAATTATTGGCTGTCGTAAATTTGTTACGTCGCAGGATTACTGTTGCATTGCCAAGTCGACATCTTGGCCGAATTCGAGTCGACTACATGTCGGATTGATGTTGACTTTTTGAAACGCCCATCAAATTTACGAAAAGTGGCCGGATGATGCGAGCTCTTCGAAAATATTTGCGACTGTCGCTAACGTGTTACTTTCGCCAAAACCGGCCAGTCGGATTAAGCCGATTTCGGATCTGACACACCCTTACTTCTGCACTTGTTCCATTTGCAGCCATTCTTCCTTCGGCAGTCAGTCTGCAGTCGTTCGTTCCCAACCGTCACGCGCCTCTTCAACCGCTCTTACGACTGTGAATTCTCTTAGTGTGTCTGAAAGTGGAACGTCGACGGACGTAGGAGAGGTGAACCGTCGGATATGTCGAAGGTCCAAGATCGGGCAGTTCGGCCCTCTCAACATGATCGGATGTTTGTCCAAGAGTCTGTCGACGTGTGTCGACATCCCCGCTTCACAAACGCCGCTAAGGAATCAGCGCAAGAACCACATCTAGTATCATCAGTCAGTCGGTGTGGGGGTTTGAAGAATGTTCAGCCAACCCTTTGCCGCGTAGTTATTTCCGTTGCGGCCTTTGGAGGTACGGGTCCCTGGCAGGGTTTCGGGTGACAGCCTATTTGCGATAGGGACAGCGCGCGTATTTCCTTCTTACTACCGTCTGATTGCTGATTTTGCATCTCCTAATCAGTTGCAAGTGTTGGGGAAACGCCGCGGAGCCAATTTCGACTGTTCGAATCAATTCGGTCGACGAACGGCGGTGTTTCGTGTGCGTGAGTGTGTGCTTCCCAAACATCTGATGGCTGTGAAAAACATCGAGATTGACGAATTCTCGGGCGCCTCGGACGTTTCGGGCCCAGAGACTCAGAGTCGAGAGGTGCTTCATGTCCCGTCAGGGAAACACGTCCTTCAAACTGCGAGCGACCAGAAGACGGACGAAACGAAAACAATCAGGCGACAGCAAGACGGCTCGCGGGTTACCAAGGAAAATTGGGACCGATCAGATCTGGATCAGGACTGGGATCGGACGGAGCAGATCGAATTCGGGATATCGCAGATTCTGCTTGATTGGAGGAAGAAATTGGGGATTTTGCAGGGAGCAGGAGATTGGGACGCGTTAGAATCGCACGGCGGAAGAGCGGGTTATGAGACTCTCATGCCAGATTCATGCCGGAAGGGCCGCACCGTGAGGAGTTCGGTGGAATCGAGGCCATGGATCGTTGCCTGCACGCTCGGCCTTGTCGTGCCTCTCGTTTTCGTGCTATACCTGATTGCCACTACCAACAGAGTGAGTGGTTTTATTCAATAAACTCAACTCTCGCCCCTCTCTTGCTCAAAACTCCTGCCTTTCGTTCCGTGCTACGCGGTTAGCCATTTGTATCCAGGAGAGCGCATTTGTGCTGGTCCCTTATCACTTAGGTGAATCGCGGGATTGGATGAATTGGCTGGCGTAAGGACGTGGTGCAGTAGAACTGCCTAGTTGCGCGGCAATCCAATACGATGCACTGGGTCACGCAGCTTTCAGGCTGGTGTGTTTTGAGTCGACTCCAAACACGTGGTGCAGTAGAACCACCTTGGTGCACGTCAATCCAATTAGACGCACTGTGTAACGCAGCAGGTGATCCAATACAGGCTGGTGCGCTCCATTGCCTTATTTCGATGCTGTCTTTAACGTTATACATGCATTGGTAGAGCAGTAACGAAGCCGTTCATTTTTGGGATGTAGTTTTGTTGGTTCGGCGTCACGCTGCTAGGCTGCTGCTCGCACCAAGAGCTTGGTTCTTTTGTTTGTTTTTGTTTTCGGTTGTGCGTTTTTACTATGTGGTTACCTCAAAATTTTAGTTTCATGTCATGGACAGCACCAAAAAATGTCCGGGATTTGTTCCCTGCGCCTACAGCTCCACACCTCTCCTCGCCTCTATGCCCAACCTCCGTTCCAACCTCAGGCTCGGTCGGACATCAGTCAGCTATGGAACCTTTCCCCTTCAGTCCGGTTACCTGTAGCGGAGTGGGAGCGACCCGGCTGCATTCTCACTCTCGACTCGCGCTACAACCCTGAGGGGGTGCTGGCAGTGGAGGCGGCTGTAGCGCGGCTCCTGAGAGACCTGGGGGCGGAGGGGGGGGGAACTTTAGAGTCGACTCACAAGCCAGCGGAGGCGGCTGTAGCGCGGCTGCTGAGGGACCTGGGGGGAGAGGCGGAAAGGGTGGGGGGAGAGAGGGTTGGGGGAGAAGGGAAGGGGTGGGCGGGTGTAGGGACGGGCGCAGGGGGTGCGGAACAGGTAGGGCGGAGGGGGAAGTTGCGGGAACGGAGTGAGAAGGAAGCGGGAGTGGGGAGGTTCGGGAGGGGGGCAAGGGATGGGGAGTGGGGTTGGTATGGGGGACGGTGGGGTAGGCGGCTGAATGAAGCGGTGGGGGAAGCCAAGGGGCAGGGGACGAGTGAGGGGCAGGGGAATAATGAAGGGCAGGGGAAGGATGAGGGGCAGGGGAAGGATGAGGGGCAGGGGAAGGATGAGAAGGAGGTGGAAAAGGAGAGCGGAAAGGGAGGAGAGGGCGGAAAGGGGATGTCTGAGGCGTGGCGGAGGTTCTATGGTGGGCTCCCTAAGGTGGTGGGCGCCGATGGGAATGAGGATCAGCTGAAGATGCCCATTGGGTGGCTTTGGCCGTGAACATGTGAGATCGTGTTACCATGTCCCCGTGGGTGCATTTGTGTCACCATATGGCTCCCTAAGGTGGTGGATGCGGATGGGAATGAGGATCAGCTGAAGATGCCCATTTGGGTGGCTCTTGCCGTAAACATGTGCATGTGACTTGTATAGCGGTGTGTGCGGTGTATGCATGCGTCAACGTGTATAACATCATCATATCATATTTGTCCCTGTGTGTTATAGTACGGTGTTCGTGTGTGTGTGTGTGTGTGTGTGTGTGTGTGTGTGTGTGTGTGTGTGTGTGTGTGTGTCTGTGTGTCTGTTTCTGTGTCTGTGTCTGTCTGTGTGTTACGGTGTCAACCTGGGAGTATGGTTGTTTAATGGTGTGTGTGTGCATGCGTCAACGTGAATAACATCATCGTATGTGTCCATGTGCGTTACGGTGTTAACATGTGAGTATTTTATAAACAGAACTCATACACACGAGTGTGGTGTATAGCGTCATCACGCCACGTGTGTGCGTGCGTTATGCTGTAGCCATAAGAGTATAGCATTTAGACATAAGTGTTACGCAGTCATATTATAGGCACGTATAGCATCATCGTATGATGACCAGAACCTACTCCAGAAACTATTGTTCCGTAACAGTATAGCTCGTCTTCTCTTTCCACTTCCCTCCAGCTTTTGAGTCGACTCAAAAGCATGGCTCGTCGTCTCCTTCCATTTCCCTCCGTCAGGATGTATTTTTGAGTCGACTCGAAAGTCAGCTCGAAACCCTTTTGTTCCGTAACAGTATAGCTCGTCTTCGCTTTTCACTTCCCTCCAGCTTTTGAGTCGACTCAAAAGCATGGCTCGTCGTCTCCTTCCATTTCCCTCCGTCAGGATGTATTTTTGAGTCGACTCGAAAGTCAGCTCGAAGCTCTTGTTCCGTAACAGTATAGCTCGTCTTCTCTTTCCATTTCCCTCCTTCAGGATATATGCGCGGCGGCATGGGTATCGATTTGTGGTGGAGAATGGGTCAAAATACACTCAGGATAGGCACCCCTCATGGTTCAAGGTGAGAGTCTATGAGGTGCGGTGCGGGCAGCACCCAGCATAGACACCCCTAAGATTAGGCACACCTCAGGATAGGCACACGTCAGGATAGGCACCCCTCAGGATAGGCACACGTCAGGATAGGCACCCCTCAGGACAGGCTCACGTCAGGATAGGCACCCGCCAGGATAGGCACACGTCAGGATAGGCACACGTCAGGATAGGCACACGTCAGGATAGGCACACGTCAGGATAGGCACACGTCAGGATAGGCACACGTCAGGATAGGCACACGTCAGGATAGGCACCTTTCAGGATAGGCACACGTCAGGATAGGCACACGTCAGGATAGGCACACGTCAGGATAGGCACACGTCAGGATAGGCACACGTCAGGATAGGCACACGTCAGGATAGGCACCTTTCAGGATAGGCACACGTCAGGATAGGCACACGTCAGGATAGGCACCCCTCAGGATAGGCACACGTCAGGATAGGCACCCCTCAGGATAGGCACACCTCAGGATAGGCACACCTCAGGATAGGCACACCTCAGGATAGGCACCCCTCAGGATAGGCACCTCTCGTGGTTCGAAGTGAGTGTCAATGAGGTGCACGCAGCACCCAGCACAGACACCCCTCAGGTTAGGCGCACCTCAGGTTAGGCGCACCTCAGGTTAGGCGCACCTCAGGTTAGGCTCCATTCCCTGATTACCCTCCATTCCCTGATTACCCTCCATTCCCTGATTACCCTCCATTCCCTGATTACCCTCCATTCCCTGCTTTCCCTGCATTCCCTTCTTTCCCTCCTTTCCCGGTTTTCTCTGCATTCCCTGCTTTCCCTCCTTTCCCTGCATTCCCTGCTTTCCCTCCTTTCCCTGTCGTCCCTGTGTTCCCTGGTTTTCCTGCGATCCTTGCTTTCCCTCCTTTCCCTTTCCCTGCATTCCCTGCTTTTGCTGCATTCTCTGTTCCCTGCTTTCCCTGCTTTCTCTGCGTTTCCTGTTTCCCTCCTTTCCCTGCCTTCCCTGCTTTCCCTGCATCGGCATTGGCCTACACCCCCGCATCCCTGCATTCCTTGCTTTCCCCTGCGATTTCCTCCTCTCCCCTTCACCTGCAGATACCGTTTCAGGAGCAGCTGTCGTGCTGCTGCCAGTGGGCCTTGACTGCATTGACTGCATTGACTGCATTGACTGCTTTGACTGCATTGACTGCTTTGACTGCATTGACTGCATTGACTGCATTGACTGGTTTGACTGAATTGACTGCATTGACTATTGACTGTATTGACTGCGTTGACTGCATTGACTATATTGACTGCATTGACTGTATTGACTGCATTGACTGCACTGACTTCATGCCTGCTTGCCCTGCTTTTCCCCTGCAGATACCGTTACTGCAGGAGCAGCTATCATGCTGCTGCCAGTGGGCCTTCTTTGTCGACTGCAAAGGAGCAACCTGCATTGCTTGCTATTTTTCCTCCTGCTTCCTGCGTCTCCCCTGCAGATACCGTTTCTACAGGAGCAGCTGTCGTGCTGCTGCCAGTGGGCCTTCTTTGTCGATTCAGATGCCTACATGCGCATGCACCACCACAACCTCTCAGTTGAAGACTCGATAAAAGACATCAAGAAGCCTGTGAGTGCATTCTTGTTCCATCATACCCATCCCTGATGCTCGTCCCATCATGCTAATGCAATGCACCACCACCGCTTATCCATCGAAGACTGGATAAGAGACATCAAGAAGCCTGTGAGTGCATGTCCTTTTGAGTCGACTCAAATTCAGCTCCGTTTTGTCGATTCAGATGCCTACATGCGCATGCGCATGCACCGCCACCGCCTCTCCATTGAAGCCTGGATTCAGACCATCAATCAACCTGTGAGTGAATTCTTGAGTCGACTCAAATTCAGCTCCGTTTTGTCGATTCAGATGCCTACATGCGCGTGCGCATGCACCGCCACCGCCTCTCCATTGAAGCCTGGATTCAGACCATCAATCAACCTGTGAGTGAATTCTTGAGTCGACTCAAATTCAGCTCCGTTTTGTCGATTCAGATGCCTACATGCGCATGCGCATGCACTGCCACCGCCTCTCCATTGAAGCCTGGATTCAGACCATCAATCAACCTGTGAGTGAATTCTTGAGTCGACTCAAAAATCAACCTGTGAGTGAATTCTTGAGTCGACTCAAAAATCAACCTGTGAGTGAATTCTTGTTCCATCATACCCATCCCTCATGCTCGTCTCACCATGCCCCATCATCCTCCTACATACATGCACATGCACGACCACCACCTTTCCATCGAAGACTGGATAAAAGGCATCAGTTAGCCCGTGAGTGTATTGCCTCCAAGCAAGCAACCTGGCAGTGCATGCTCGTTCAACCATCCTCCTGCATGCATACGCACGCACTACCACCACCACCACCACCTCTCCATAGAGGCCTGGATCGAAGACATCAAGAAGCATGTGAGTGCCTGGATTTCCTCCTCACGCCTCCTCACTCCTCCTCAACCCTCCTCACTCCTCCTCGCCGCTCCTCACCCCTCCTCACCGCTTCCTTGCTCCTAGAACTACTTCAACTGACTGGTGGATGCCCAAGTGACAGACTCACTGGACGGCCAGGTGTGGGTCCCACAAGACATAATGATGCACCCCTCCTCACCTCTATGCACCCCATGTGACCGTCTCATCACTTGCTTGTTTCCAGAACTACTTCAACTGGCTGCTGGATGCCCAAGTCACAGACTCCTTGGAAGGAAGGACAGGAGTGGGTCCCAGTGGGTCAAAGTGGGTCCCAGTGGGTCCCAATGGGTCCCACCCACAGGACATGAACTTGGACCGATGCACCCCTCCTCACCCCTCCTCACTCCTGCTCACCCTTCCTCACCACTTTCTTTTTCCCAGAACTACTTCAACTGGCTGCTGGATGCCCAAGTGACAGACTCCTTGGAGGGACAGGTGTGGGCCCCACAGGACCCGGCCTTGCTGCTACAGCCGGCCACCGCGCTACAGCCGGAGGGCCCTGTGGCCCTGATACCACGGAACGGGGACGCGGTGGGGGGGTACGATGGGGGAGCGGATCTGCTGTTCTCAGAGAACCACGATTATCTCAATGCGGGGGTGCTGCTCTGTAGGAGGTCCCTGGACACAATTGAAGTGAGCTTTTCCTGAATTCGTTTTTTTTTAGAATTCACAAAATATATACATATATACACACATATATATATATATGTATATATGCCTGACTAAGGTACTACGATGGGAGAAGGGGGGGGGGAGGGATGAGGTTGGGGGAGGCATCTTTCAATCAATTCAGTTCCAATCGGATTGGCGTGTGTTTGGACAACAGCATGTTTGCAGCCAATCATTTCCCTTCTCTTGCTCTTGATGGTGGGTAACGCAGTGGTTGTACTACTCTCCTGTTCCCGCTCCCTTGCAGTTCTTAGAGCAGTGCAGTGGTGCACGATCATTGCATCATACGAGTTTTGAGATGTCTCAAAAGTCCATTTGTTGCCCCCTCCCCCTTCCCACTCCTTTGCAGTTCCTGAGACAATGGTACATCATAAATGAAGCCGACGAAATCCACCGATACACTCACGTCTGGGAGCAAGCGAACCTGAACGCCGTTGTTCGGCAGGAGCAGTGGAAGGGGAAGGTGATCGTGGTCCCGTATGCGGAGCTGACCGGCCCCAACGGAGCCATGGTTCGGCATGTGTGGAGTGGCCTGCCTGAGGGATCACATCACAAGGTGTCAATGGAGGCTCTTGAGGAGATAATGGGGGCATTGCAGTAAGGGTTGTGTAGCTGACAGAAGGTGATCGTGGTCCCGTATGCGGAGCTGACCGGCCCCAACGGAGCCATGGTTCGGCATGTGTGGAGTGGCCTGCCTGAGGGATCACATCACAAGGTGTCAATGGAGGCTCTTGAGGAGATAATGGGGGCATTGCAGTAAGGGTTGTGTAGCTGACAGAAGGTGATCGTGGTCCCATATGCCGAGCTTACAGGGCCCAACGGCGGCATGTGTGGAGTAATCTGCCAGAGGGGTCACATCAGAAAGTGTCGATGGAGGCCGTGCAGGGGATCATGGGGCTGCTGCAACAAGGGCATTTGAGAATTCTCAAAAGCAACTCAGAGTAGCCTCAAAAGTCTGCGTGAGGGATCACACCACAGGGATTCAATGGAGGGCGTGCTGGAGATCATGGGGCTGCGGCTGCTGCAGTAAGAGGTTGCATTTGAGAATGCAGGGCAGGGGGCAGAAGTTCGCAAAAGAATTATGTAATGCTATTTTAAACAGCCTGTACTTTCTAGAGACGTTTGTGTATAATTTGAGAATATATGTAATGAATTGTGCATACGCGATATGTATCTTGCTGCGTGTATCCGCTATAATCACGCCCCAGTCAGTTCACATGCTGTCGACGTATTCGTGCGGTGGAAAGTGCACTTTCGAGAGGAAATCTGGTTGGCCGTTGATATTCTGTTATGCCACCATGTATGTGTCACACAGCTCGCAAAATGATTCACTCACGCGATCTGACTCAGCAGACAGGCAGCCTACTGCCGTGCGTTCCAATGAGCTTCACCCTTTTTCGAGTCGCCTGGTCTCATTCCAAACCATGCCACGGCTCTCCCTGCTGGGCTCGAGCTCCCCCCTCACTGGGTTTATCCTCTCCGCCTGTAACCCTATTGTGTGCTTATGTGGAGTAAGCGGATCTTCCCTCAAACGAAGCAGCGTGAGCCATTGGACGAGGATGACGACGTGGCGTTATTCCTTGTCGGCTATATCCAACTCCCACCTCAATTTGCACACGCAGCACGCATTTCTGCCTTCCCATCCAGGCAGCCAGAAGCTTGGTGGGTCTGAACATCCTGGCAGCTGACCGTTGATTTTGAACCCCCTTGACAACCACTTCGCTTCGCTACGCTACACCAAGGAGTGGAACGCCCCATCCAGCGAGGATGTAAAATTGCTAGGGGATCCTTCCATTCTTCAACCTACTGGCTGGCTTGGCAGAGAAGGTTGTTAGGTTGTACACACTTGGTTTTTTTCGGGGAGTTGCTAGAAAAATCCCCATTGCAGAGGGTCCAACGACAAAAGCAAACTTCCTACCCATGGGCTGGGGTCGTTGAGTTGAGTCTGGTCCGGTTTGCAGCTCCTGGCTCCCTGAGCGTCGCTCGCGCGGCAATCCCGACCGATGTGCTATCCATCCACCAAACCAGCAATCCCTCCCTAGTCACCAGCAACAACACATTTCGCGCCCTTTTCTGTTTCCAGCAACGCGCAGTCCCATTCTGCTCCCCTGCTGCCGCTGCTGCTCTGCCACTGATTCTGGTTGAGAACCAAGCTAAGAGATATCACTGGAAGTGGTGTAGTGGTGAAGCTGACTATTATCAGTGGTTGAGCGAAGCTTACTTCCAAGAGTGCTAGAAATCAACGTGTGAAATGCGCAGCGAATAGTCTAGTACGCCATCTCTGTGAAGTCTTCTACTGTAACGAGGTAGGCCTACTTTCCCTACGAGGTGATTCATCTGCTTTTCCTGCATTTTGTGGAAACCAGAAGCTAGTTTCCATTCAGCCGCGGCGAAACGAAACTTAGAGCAGCCATTGTTGATATCAACCAACACGTCACCGCGTGGAGAAACATAGACACCACCATGTCGAGCACCAACATATCACTTCTTTTTTGTTTTAATATCTTTTTTTTTTTGAAGCAGTTGCAGCTTCCATTAAGCTTGTCACTTTTATCAGCTGCGCCTGTTCTTCTTCCCTCTCGCTCTCTCACTCACTCGTAGCCATCAGTCTCCGGCTTAACTTTGCTGCAGTTTCTGTTACAAGCACCAAACATGCTTTTTGGCGTCGTGTGGTTCCATGGCCTGCCTTTCTGTCCCTCTGCCTACCTCGTTGGGCACGTCCTTTCCTTTTCGTGCGATATTGTCGGTATTCACACTGCGGCTTTATTTTGTTCTCTCCTTCCCTTTCCTTGCCAGCGTGCAGGTGGCCTAATCACTGATATTTATCTTCCTCGAACAACATTTTATGCACCTCACCTCCCCTCTGTAACCACACCACCATCACCCTTTTTCCGCCAGTAGGAGCCTACAGGGGACCGCCGACTCTACAGAGAGTAGTGACTTCTCTACCGAAGAGCCTCACAGCTAGTTCCTATCAAGTAGTTACCTTAAAGTTAGTTACCGTCAGCTAATTAGCGTCAGACCGTTATCGTCAGCTACCGAAGCAGTGTACTCGCTTTAAACGACTCAGTGGTGGAGAGCGGAAAGAGTTTCAATATGGCAGACCCAGCTATGAGCTCCGCGACAATGTCGACCGCTGATACTAGCTCCCCCACCAACAGCACCCGCACCATGTCCACCGTAACCTCCGCCGCACCGTCCGGGCCGCCCGTGTCTATGAGCTCGTCGAGCGTCACGGGCACCAAGGCCCTGGCGAAGCGCGCTATCCGCGTCGCGCAGGCCGTGGCCGACGCGCGGCTCGACAGCGCGTACGAGGACGCGTCGGAGGGGTTCGACTATCACGACTCGGTGGAGGCAAGCAAGGGCATCACGCAGACGGACGGCGGACAAAGCGGCGCGCAAGGCGGCGGGAAACCCGGCGGCGCGCCGGTCGCGTCGTACCTGCAGCGCATGCAGCGCGGCGGGTTGATCCAGGCGTTCGGATGCCTGGTGGTGGTGGAAGAAGGGACGTTTAACGTGCTTGCTTATAGCGAGAACGCCAAGGACCTGCTGGGGCTGATTCCGAAGCCCAAGACGGAGGAAGAGCTGGAGGCGGAGAAGAAGGCCGCGGAGGAGGCGGAGCGGAAGAAGGCGGAAGAGGCGGCGAAGGCGGAGGCGGAGGCGGCAACGGCGTCCCCGAGCAAGTCCGGGAAGTCGGGCATTGGTGAGTATAATGCGTGCGAGGAGTCTAACGCGTGGTGAGTGTAACGCGCAGGAGGAGTTAGGCCTTTGTCTGGGTGCGTTAGTGGGGGCATTGTGAGTGTAACGGGTGGGAGGAGTTAAGCGTGTGGGGGAAACTCGGTAGGCTGCAAACCCGTCTGAGACGTCGATTTTTTTTTTTTTTGAAGTGTTACGATAATCTAGTGTCTCCGAGTCGGGCTTGGTAAGCCAGGTGACTCGGCCAGGTGGTTGTTCCTCATTGCCAGTAGGCATTAGTGAGATTAACCTGTAGGAACAACCATTACTAAGGCCGAAGTGAAGCGCTGCTTAGGTGTTCTGAAGCGTCTTAAATATCCTTCCATTCGCCTCGAAATTTGAATGGTTAGGTACGCCATTGGTGCATTGGTATGTGTAACATGAAGGGTTGGACATTAGGGGAAAAGCTTCATATCGGAGAAGGGCTGGGCGTTGTCAAGGCGGGCGCTTTGTGATGCATGGTGGGCATGGGTGACTGTAACGCGTATGAAGATTGTCTCGGCGCCCCACAAGGCGGGCGCTTTGTGATGCATGCTCTCATCCCCTCCCCCCTCCCCTCTCCCCCTCCCCCTCTCGCCTCTCGCCTCTTCCCTCTCCCCTCTCATATCTCATTGCTTATCTCCCTTCTCCCTCCCTCCCGACCCCGTCGTCTCTCAGCTTTCACTTCGCACTCGTTCGTTGTTTTCCGCGTCCCTTCTCCCCTACTTCTCCTTTGCACTCTCGTATCCCTCTCCGCCTCTCTGCTTGTTTTCCGTTTCCCTCTCCCTCCCTCTCCCGACCCCCTCGTCTCTCGTCTTCCGCTTCTCACCTCATTCCTCTTTTTCTGCGCCCCTTCTCCCCCACCTCTCCTTGTTCTCTTTTTACTCATTCCCATTTCCTCCCCCGCCGCTTCGGCCTCTCTCCCTTTCTCCCTCTCTCCCTCCCTCCCCGTTTCGTCCCCTCTCCCCATCTCCCTCTCTCCCTCCCCCCCCCTCCCCCCCTCTCCCCACAACATATTTTCCCCGTCTCACCTGCCCAGGCCGCGCCTTCAGCTCCCTCAAGGAAAAGATCTCCTCCGCGATTCGCGGCCACAATGCGGCGAGCTCCAAGCACTCCAAGCAGCGCGGGCGCAGCGCCACGCCTTCCGCCAGCTCGGGCGGGCGCGTGGGCTCCCCCGCACGCTCGCAGTCCCCTTCGCGCTCCTGGCGCAGCGGGTTCCGCGCAAGCCGCCGCGCGGAGGACTGGGAGGG